TATTCTAATTTTGTTGGGTGGAACACTCTGAAAAAACATCTATTAAGTACATCTGTCCAATAGCTTGGTTCATTTCTAGAATTTTGTTGTTGATTTTTTGTCTAGACATTCTATTTGTGATAGTGGGGTATTGAGGTCCCCCACTACAATTTTATTAGTGCTTATTTGGTTTTTCATGTCCATTAATATTTCTTTTGTATAGTTGGGGGCATTCATATTTGGTACATATATATTTAGGATAGTCATCTCTTCCTCTTGGATTGTTCCCTTCACAGGGATGTAGTGGCCATCTTTGTCTCTCTTAATTAGTTTTGGTTTGAACTCTACTTTGTCTGCAAATAAGATTGCTTCCCCTGCTTTTTTCTCTGTTCCTGTCGCATGGAGAACTGTTTTCCATCCTTTTACTTTCTGTCTATGAATTTCTTTTTGAGTTAGGTGTGTTTTTTGTATAGACCATATTGTTCATTTTGCTTCTTAATCCATTCTGCCATCTATTTCTTTTGATTTGTGAATTGAGGCCATTAACGTTGATAGTTATAATTGATAGATATTGACTCATCCTTATCATGATGTTTTACTGTTTTGGGCTCTTTTAGTTTTTATTTTTCCCCCTTTCCCTTTAGTTTCTTCCCTTGGCTGGTGGCTTCCCTCTGTTGGGCCTCATGGAGTTTTGACCTTCATTGTCTTTTTCTAGGATATTGTTTAGAATTATTTGGAGTGCTGGTTTGGTGTTCATGAAATTTATCAGGTATTCTTTTTTGTGGAAGTATCTAATTTCCCCATCAATTTTGAAAGATAATTTTGCAGGATACAGCAGTCTAGGTTGGAAGTTATTTTCTTTTAGGGCTTGAAGTACTTCACTCCAGGCTCTCCTTAACTTGAGGGTTTGTGTTGAGAAATCTGCTGTTATTCTGATGGACTTTCCTTTGTTGGTGATTTGTTTCTTTTCTCTAATTCCTTGTAGGATTTTGTTCTTCTGTTGGGTTTCTGGGATCTTGACACTTATATGTCTAGGTGTAGATTTTTTTTATCATTGCTAGTTGGAGTTCTATATGCCTCACTTATCTGTATGTCCAATTCTCCACCTCTGTTTGGGAAGTTTTCTACTATTCTGTGAACAGTTTTTTTAATGTCAATTGTACTTTCTCCTGCTTTTTCATGGACTCCTATCAGTCTTATGTTATTCTTCTTTGCATCATCTAGCAGCTGCTGAATTGATTTCTCATGGTCCCTTACTATTTTGAAGAAATCTCTGTTTTCATGGTTATTAACCTCAATCCTGTCTTCTATATCTGATATTCTATCTTCACATTCCCTTAATCTGCTCTCCATACTTTCAATGGAGTTTTTAATCTCCTGGATATCTGTTTGAATCTGTTTGATGGATTCCATTTCTTATGTTGGGCAATCATGGCTTCCATTTCTTTCTTATGCTGGGCATTCATAGCTTCCAACATGTTTCTGAGCTCATCTTTTTTTTATCTGTTTCTGTTCTAGAGCCTCTAATCATGTCTTTCACTCTGCTCACCATCTCTGTAGTTATGTGGGAGATTATTTCTGTTTTGAATTTTTCTAGGGCCTCGTTCATCTGTTTTGTTACTTCCTGTGCTATCAGTTCAGGGTGTCCAGGTGGTTGATTATCAGACTTTTCCACCTCATTTCCCCCAGAATTTGCCTTTTGAGGGGTGGAAGTCTGAGTTTGTGCCTTACTTAAATGTCTTCTAATTTTTGTTTTTGGTACTCTCCTTGGTTTAGTTCCTGGGTTGATACTTTGAAGTTGCTTATTATAAGTATCTTTTTTGATGTATTTAGAACCCTTATGGAATGATTGCTTCTCAGAGGTGTCTTCCAGATGTACCTGGTCTTTAGGTTTTGAGTCTCTAATGACTCTGAGGGTGTCTCATTTCCATTATACCAGTTAGGACAACTGATTAAATCAATCACAACACCTTAGCCCAAAGGATATGATCAGCAACACAATAGCATCAAGTACATCTATGAAAATAACAATTTGTGGTAGTTATTAATCTATCACCTTTAACTAACTGTGTGAATTAAATAAAAATTAAAGACCAACCCAACATATGTTTATAGTGAATTAACTCTTCAATATAGCAGCTTTACCCTTCGGGATGCGGAGTTAGAAGGAGTTGGGGAGGGAGGGATAGATAGGCAGAAGGATAGGGGACGGTTAGCAGTGAGGCAGTGAGAAGAAATGAGAGGCATGAGAAGAAAAAGAGAGGAAAAGAAAAAGAAGAAATCTGAATTAGGGCCAGAACTGGAACAAAAAGGGAGATGAAGAACAATGTGGGACAGCAAGAAAGTGAGTGTAAGAGAGACAAAAGAAAGAGAAAAGAAAGAAAAAAGAAAAAAAATTTGAAAAGAGTAGGAAAAAAATTAAAAATAAGAGCAAAAAATAATAATTTTGAAAATAACAAAAATGAAAATGAAGGGCCTCCTTCAGGGAATGTCTCTACTGTCACAATAGACAACGTGGGCAGTAGTGTGCAGATATAAGTCAATGAGTCTCAGCAATCCAGTCACAGTCGCATGGGATTCAGGCAGATTTCTGGATGCAAGCCCCAAGATGAGCTCCCTGTCCTCCTGTAGGGTTGAACTCTGCAAGGTCCTACTGCAGGTTTCAGCTGCCCTTCCCCTGAAGATATTCTGGGTTCCAATGGGAGGTGATGATCCCTCCAACTTACCAAGTATGGTGGTCTGGTGTCCCCTGTGCCTTTGTAGTGTGGAACAAGGTAGCAGCACAGCCAGGTGGCCAGATGGGGGGGGCTGCAGGTGCCTGCGCAGCCCACCATGGTGGGTGTGGTTAGTGGTGAGGTGTCCTCACCTTCTGGCTGATCGCCGGTGGGTGTGGGATGGGTTGGACGGAGTGGGGCTCCCCGTGTCCCAGACCTCTCTCTCCTGCAGGCTAAGCGGATCGCCACCATGGAAAATAAGGTTATTTTAAAAGAGAATTGTGTCATAAAGACAAAGCTGAATGGGAAAATAGAATACGGAATCATTAAGCATGGATAAGATTAAACAATATATTTTTGGTAGTTTCAGAAAACATTTTTAAAAATTAAAAATCATCAATGATCCCCACATTTCAATGTCAATTTACTTAATAATTTGGTATATTTCCTTCCTGTTTTTTTGCTCTGTGTGTATCTATCTATCTATCTATCTATCTATCTATATATATATATATATACACACACATTTATACACCTAAATAGGTACAGTGATGTATTTTTACTCATCATAAAATTTCTATATTCCTACCACCCAGAATCAATATTATGACATGTGTCCTTCTGTTTTCACAATGTAAACCATATGGTTTCATAATCTGATTCTTCATTTAATTATTTGCCATTTTCTTAAATTCTGAAGGATAGTGAAAATTCTTAATTCTACATATTTGGACCTATGACATGCCAGTTTTATTTTTTTTGAAGGGTCTCACTCAGAGAAAGGGTCTTGCTCAAGCTGGGTTTGAACCCCTCGGCTGAGATGATCCTTCTGCCTCTACCTCCCAAGTAGCTGGGACAGAGATGACACACCACCATGCCTAATAACATACTTTGAGTGTGTGTGATTGAACCCAAGGTTTTCACACTGAGTTTTCACATCCGCCCATTTAAAAATTTTGAGACAGACAGGGACTTGCTAAGTTGCCCAGGTTGGGGTCAAATTTGTGAGCCTCCTATCTCAGCTTCCCAGAGTGCTAGGATTACAGGCATTCCCCACTATGCTCAGTGATAACATCCATTTTTAATCAAACCCCTATCATTGGCTATTCAATTTAATTTACTTGCTTACTATTTTAAATACTGCTCTTATGATAGTTTAAAAATCAAAAATCCTTATTGCCTTAGTAGAAATTACTTTTATTAAAAGAATATTAAATTGGAAGAACTGTTCCTAAAATTGTATCCAAGCTTACTAGTATATATCCTTTTTCTGTAAGTGGTTTTTGCATTAAGAATCTTGATGAATAATGTGTAAGTTCTCCCATTTGAAGGTCTTTGGTTTCATGGATCCTCGTGACATATTTTCCATTACCTTTCTTAAGCAAGGTAAGGAGTTTGCCCTATATAGAATACAGCAGTTATGTTTTATACAATTCTTTCAAAAATGTCATACTTTGCTCTACAGTGAACTTAATGCCATAACTGAACAAGCCTTTACACCTTTTCTACAAAAAAATCATTAAAAATATAGGGAATGATTGCCTCTAATATTTTTTTCTTTTTTGTGGTACTAGGAATTGAATGGAGGGACTCACACAAGCTAGGCAAGCACTCTACCACTGGGCTACATCCTCAGCCCTCATGTTCTTATTAAATGAACTTACAGCTGGGCTAGTTAGGCCTCACTAGCCACACTGAAATTGTATGTAATTTTATTTTATTCCTTGAAGTGATGGGGAAAGTGCTTTGTCTCCACACCCATCTCAGAATTTCTAATATGGTTTTCTCAGCTTATTAAATTCTCAGGTTTTTCCACAGCATAATTACTTAGATATGCAATGACAATTCTAAAATCTATATTAGTATACTCAGTTTTGCCTCTTTTGAATTATTGATATACAGTTCTTCATTCATGGATGAAGAATTCTTGGTGAAAAGTTGATCCCATTTTGCACACCTCTAGAATTATACTTTTGTTTCTCTTAAATGATTTAAAAATACATGAGTTTCTGACATTATTTTTATTTGTTTAATTTGTTCATTTTTGTTGCAGTACTGGGGATTGAACTCAGGGGAATTCTACCACTAAGTTATATCCCCAGATCTTTTTAATTTTGGAGACATGTCTTGCTAAGTTGCCCAAGCTGGCCTCATACTTGGAATCCTCTTGTCTAAGCTTCTTAAATATCTGGGATTATAGGCATGAGTCACTGTGCCCAACAGTTTCTTACATTATTGAAATTTATAAGGTCACTCCCAAATGATGAATTTTTTAATACGTAGCATGAGGTATAAGTACAAGTGGAACTATCTAACTCTCAAGTATTCATAGGTTATATCTCCTGCATGACTTAGCTGATGTTTAATGAGAGTTGACTTCCTACTAAAGGTTTTTCCACAGTCTGCACTCATAGGGCTTCTCTCCTGTACGAGTTCTGTGATGTACAATGAGAGCTGATCTCACACTGAAGGCTTTACCACATTCACTATATTTGTAATTTTCTCCTGTATGAGTCCTCTGATGTTTAATGAGAGTTGATTTCTTACTGAAGGCTTTTCCATCATCATTCATAGGGCCTCTCTCCTGTATGAATTCTCTGATCTTTAACCAGTGATGACTTCTCACAGAAGGCATTCCCAGTCACTGCATTTACAGGGCTTCTCTTCTGGGTGGGTTCTTTGATGTACAATAAAGGTTGACTTCTCATGAAAGCTTTTCTCACATCTCCATTCACAGGGTTTCTCTCCTGTATGAGTATGACAATGGACAGAGAGTGGCTTTCCACTGAAAGTCTTCCCATATATGATACATTCATAGGGTTTTTCTCCTGTATGAATTCTCTGGTAAGCAGAGAGTTATGACTTTCCCCTAAAGCTTTTCCCTCATTTACTGCATTCATAAGGCTTCATTTTTGTGTGAATTATGTGATGTTTAACGGGGGTGGGCTTAGCATCACTTTCCCATATTTAATGTACTCAAGTTTCCCAACCATATAAGTCCTTTCATGTATAAGGCTGGACATAACCGATTTGACATCTCTATAGAGTGCTTGTCTGGTGTCTGTTCTTTCATGTCTGATAAAGTGATAAGAATTCTTAAAGGCTTTTTCACATTTACCACATACAAATGGTTTCTCTCCTGTATGAGTTCACTGATGTTTAATCAGAATTGACTTCTGGATAAAGTTCTTTTGGCATTCACAGCATTCATAGAGCTTCTCTCCTATATGAGTTTGCTGGTTGGCTATGAGGGTTGAGTTTTGGCTGAAGGCTTTCACACATTCATGGCATTCATAAGGATTCTCTCCAGTGTGAATATGATGATGGACAAAGAGGTGTGACTTTCCTCTGAAGTTTTTCCCACATGTATTGCACTCATAAGACTTCTCTTTTATGTGTATTCTCTGATATTTAATGGAGGTGGACTTCTCATCAAAGACTATTTCATATTGACTGCACTCAAGTTTCCCACCCACCTGAATCCTTTCATACATAATCCTGGACATAACAGACTTGATGACTTTATAAAATGCTTGTCTGATGTGTGTTCTTTCATGTCTAATAAGGTGATAAGAACTCTTAAAGGCTTTTGCACACTCACCACAGGCAAACACTTTCTGTTCTATAGGAGTTTTCTGATGGTAAATTAGAGTTGACTTTTGGATAAAGGCTTTCCTGCATTTGCATTCATAGGGCTTCTCACCTGTATGAGTTCTGCTGTAGGCTATAAGTGCTGACTTCTGACTGAAGGCTTTTTTTACACATTCATAGCATTCATAAGGCTTTTCTCCAGTATGAGTCCTTTGATGTACAATAAGCTTTGCTTTCAGATAAACATTTTTCCACATTCAGTACATTCATGGAGTTTCTCCCAAGCTTGGATGTTCTGACATTTACTAAAGGCTTGCTTATGATGGAGGGACTGTTCTTGATGACTGCATTCAAAGAATTTCTCTTTGGGTTGGTCAATTAGATCTTGATTGTATCAAGATTAGAATAGAGAAATCCAGATAAGATGGCAGAAAAGAAGTATCCTTCAAGTGACCAGAGTTAGAAAAGGGAAACTACTTTCCAGACAGAAAGAGAGGAAGAGTTCTGGACATCAAGAAAGATGTCAGAGAAAAGCTAAAAAGCATAGCAAAACAGAATGGGAACTCAGAGAAAGGCATGAAGCAGTCTGTAATGCCAGCCTCACTTCCTTGGAGGGCGAGGAAGCTGACTCTACAAATGCAAGGTAAACAGTTCTGACAGCCCCAGTGTTAAACAATTGATTGAAATCCTAGTCCCAAGAGAAGCCCAGGGTTATTACATGCTTTTAAACCTGGTGCAGGCATTTCATCTGAAAGTGACCCCTCCTGCTTGGCAAATCAGTTTTGTAGATGAAATCCATTGTAGTGCTCACAATATCTGAATGCTATACCCTGGAGCCACCTTCAGAGTAGGCTTACTATTTGGGATTCAACTACAATATACCCCTGTGAAGTCGGTTCAGAGTTTGCAGCCCCAGGCATTAAGGGATTTTTTTCCTTAGAACCTAACAATTGATCATTGAAATCCCCCAAAATTTTGCTGAAAGCACAAATATCCTCCACAATTATTTTTTGGTGGAGGTTTGCAAGTAGCCAATCTAAGAGCATTATTCAATTCTCCTTGCTGGTGATTGGCTGCTGCTCTGTAACCCATCTCCAGCAGATGTACCAGCATTCTCACCTCATAACAGGTTGCTGTACTCCATGTACCTATCTCAAGTGTTCTTGGTTTTGTTCTTCTTAAAGCCCTAAAATCCTTGTAAATAGGGAAGGGGGGGGTGAAGGGAGGGCTAGGAATGGGGAAAAAATAAGAACCAAGATGCATTATGTAAAGGTACAATTCCCAATGAGAAATGTAATTGTGTTGTATACCTACAATGTACCAATAAAAGAATTTAATAAAGTGCCCAAAAAAAGCCCTAAAATCCCTAAGATGCTGCCAAAATGCCCTGAACCTTCTGAGGCTTTATTAATACACTATTTTATTAAATTATATTACATAATTCTGGGAGACATAGCATATTTGGGGTTTAAACCATAAAAGTAGGCATGTATAAGCATTTTTCTGACCATATCTGAAATTTGTAGGTTTTCACAATTTGTGGGTTCTCTAGGAATGTAACTCCTGCAAATTTGGGGGGGTCCACTGTAGTGTGATGATCAAGAAGTTACAGAACAATTTAAATTCAGTCATTACAAAAACTTGCTGTGGTGACTGGGTGGGACAACCACAAGAGACAGTAATGGAGTGGGATAGAGTCAGTCATAGACCTACTGAAGGGGCTGTTGGTTCTTGGCTAAAGTTTGGGAAATTGGGTTTTGGAATATTCCCTGTGTTATCATGACTATTTTGCCTGTGTGAGGCACTAAACACAAATTTTTCTTCTGGGAGTTTAGATGTCTGAATGCTAGAGACTGATAATTTTCTGGCCTCAAGGCTATGGTTAGGGGGTCAATCTAGAATAGCCCACAGAAAAAGTGAAAAGAGCTTTCTAAAAAGCCTTGCTTATAGATTGTAAATGGCAGAGTAAAGACATGTAGCAAAATATAGCCTCTCTGGCACCTGGAATCAAGACAACTGGAAAATAACTTAGTGAAGAAAAAATGAAATAGATCACTGGGAATTAAGTAAGAAGCAACAGGAAAAGTAGAAACTACAGAGAAACTGGAGACACAGAGCACAATGCAGATAAAAGAATAAGCAGTCTAGAATGCAAATGTCACTCCCAGGGAGAAGTACTTGTCACTGCTAACCTAAGGTAAGCTGAAAGAGGGTTGGCAGCTCCATGGAAAGGCAATGGAACAGGTTGTCCATTCTAATCTCAAGAAAAGTCCATAATTATTGCAAACTGAAAAAACAGTGGGGTTTTACTCTGAAAATAACTTCCACATGGCAGGCTAGAGAAAGAAATCCAGTACAGCCCATGCCATATTCGAGAATTTGTTTTTTGGTGGATTTTTTGGTACCCAGGATCGAACTCAGGACATTGTGCTTTCAAGGCAGGCAGTGGCACCACTGAGCTAAATCCCTGGCCCTATTTGAGAATGTTTAATCAGGAGCCATTCTGGGGAGGGGTTAATTGTTTAAGACTAAGCTACAGAACAACTGCAGAAAAATACACTTCACGGTTTCTGTGGTCACCCTATCAAAGTGACAGGGTGAGAGACCACTACAAGAGACAGTCATGGAGAGGTTTAAACTCAGGCTGGGAAGGGCACAGAGGGCCCCACCATCCATGGTGAGAAGTCAGGCCAGTTGTGTGCTGGGACTGAACATGCTGACATTAATTCCAGCAGATTGCTTCACAGTGCCCCCTACTCTGCCCTGTTCCTTACATCCAGCACAGAATTCAGTGATCTGTTTGCTTTCCCCATCTACCAATATGATCAGGGATACAACTCAGCTTGGATGATTGCCACACCCTATGGTGTACAGATAGAGGTGCCTCTGGAATAGAGTGGGAGGGCACTCACAAATCCACATGCTCTAAAACTAGGCAGAGAAAGCAATGACTTGGGGTGCATAGATGGACAAGGAAAATGGGAGCAGCTAGGGTCAATATACCCTAAGGCAGACACTATTAACAGGCCATCCAGAAAAGGGGCAGAAGGCAGCATTCACACACAATACACTGACAATGAGCTTACCACAAAAGAAATTAGGAAAACAATACCATTCACAATAACATCAAGAAAAATGAAATACTTTGCAATTAACAAAGGAAGTGAAAGACTTCTATCTCAAAAACTATAGTTCTAACCCTATGGTACTCTGAAAAAGGAGATCAAAGAAGAAAATGGAAAGATATCTCCTGTTTCTGGATAGGCAGAACCAATATTGTCAAAATGGCTATACTACCAAAACTGATATATAAATTTAGTGCAATTCCAATCAAAATACCAACAGCATCCCTCACAGAACTGGAAAAACCAATCCTAAAATTTACATGAAATCAAAAGAGGCCCAGAATAGCAAAAGCAATCCTGGGCAACAGGTACAAAGCAGGAGGCATCACAGTCCCTTACTTCCAGTTATATTACAAAGCTACAGTGATAAAAACAGCATGGTACTGGTTCATAAACAGACATTTGGATCAATGAAACAGAATAGAGGATGGAGAAACAACCCTAAGCACATTCAACTATCTCATATTTGACAAAAAGGCCAAAAACATATGTGGGAGGACAGATAGCCTCTTTCACAAATGGTGCTGGGAAGACTAATTATATACATGCAGAATATTAAATCTAGATCCATTATCTTTCACCATGTACTAAACTAAAAATGGATCAAAGACCTAAATATTAAAACAGAAATACTTAATTGGCTTGAAGATAAAATAGGAAAACATCTTGAACACATAGACATAGGCAAGGACTCTGAAAAGAACTCCAATTTTATAAGAAATAACATTAATAATCAACAAATGGGGGCTGGGGATTTAGCTCAGTGGTGCCAGCACCTGCCTTGCAAGCACAAGGCCCCAGTACCCCCCCAAAAGAATCAACAAATGGGATTATATCAAATTAAAAAGATTCAGCACAGAAAGTGAAACAACCAAAAGAATGAAGAAAAAACCTACAAATTGGGGACAGAAACAATTGCCACCTTCTTCTGACAGAGGACTAATATCTAGAATATATAAAGAATTCAAAAAATTAGATTCTCAAAAATAAAAGATCTAGTCAAAAATGGACAACTAAAATAAACATTTCTCAGAAGTAAAACTGGCCAATATATACATGAAAAAGTATTCAATATCTGGCCATCACAGAAATGGAAATTAATACAACACAGAGATTCCACCTTACTCCAGAAAGAATGAGCATCATGAAGACATCAAATGATAACAAATTCTGGTGAAGCTGCAGGGAAAATATACCCTTCCACATGGTTGGTGGGAATATAAATAACACAACTATGGAAATCAGTATGGAGATTCCTCAAAAAACTAAAAATTGTATTCAAACCAACTATGATATCTTCCCATTTGGGTTAAAAGACAACATTCATATACAGTGATACATGCATACCCATGTTTACAGCAGCATAACTCAATAACTAAATCTTGGAAGTGGATTATATGTTCATTAGCAAATGAATGGATAAAGAAAATGCAGTATTTATATATAATGGAGCACTACTCTGCCATAAAGAAGGATAAATCTGTGTAATTTGTAGGAAAATGGACGTACCTTGAAACCATAATGTTAACTGAAATCAGAACACACAAGCTGAAATTCTGTATGATTCCCCTTATATGAGAAACTGGAAGTATAAATAATTTAAAGAGCAATATAAAAGATAGATATTAAGAAACAGGAATATAGATCTTTTTCAAAGGGAATGGAACCAAGAGATAGGGGCAGGTGGAAGGGAGAGAAGGGCAAAGGGAATTAAAAAGAATTAAGATGTGTTATGTACATGTACCAACTCCCCACAATGAATGTAAACAATATGTACTATAAACATGTAATAATAAAAATGAATTAAAAAGTTTAAAAAATAAAAAGCTTTGATAGCACTGCTCCCAGTGCAGAGGAGGTGAGCCCCACAGGTGCCAACAGCACAGCCCCACCATGGCCATCAAAATGAGAAGGCACATAAACAAGCCTCAAAACCAGACTTCCAGATCACTTACAGAAACCCCAAAGGGAAAGGCAATGGAACAATCTGATACTCAACCACCTGGACTACCTGAACTGGAAACAAAAGAGGATCTGGAAAAAATGAAATCAGAAAAAATTTCTCAGATAACAGCAAAGAATGTGCCCATAGTGCAAGACATGATTAATAAATGTAGAGAGGATCAGCCTGCTGCACACAGGAAGGTCTGTGATGCCCTACCGAGGTCCTGAGTCACACGGAAGACACTGAAGCACCCTGCTGCAGACAGGCAGCCACCCGGTTCCACACTACAAAGACACAGAGGACACCAGACCACCAGCCCAAGGTACTGAGTCTGGCTGTTCCCAGCCCAGAGGTAGGGGTTTCTGAGCAGTCGTCCCACTACTCCTGGGCCAGAGGATGAAGCCCCATGGATGAAGTCACCATCACTCCCACTACTCCCAGTCCAGAGGAAAGGGCTTTTGGGCCACCTTATGTCCTGCTGCTCCTGGCCCAGAGGAAGGGGCTTCAAGGCCACCATCCCTCCCACCACTCCCAGCCCAGAGGGAGGGGCTTCTGAGTCACCATCCCACTGCTTCTGGTCCAGAAGAAGGGGCTTCCCGGCCACCATCCCTCCTGCTGCTCCCAGCCCACAGGAAAGGGCTTTGGGGCCACCATCCCTACCGCTGCTCGCAGTCCCTGGACCACATTACCCAGCTCAGAGGAGGTAATCCGTGCAGGTGCTAACAGCCCCCTGGCCCAGT